ATATATATTATGTTTACTTGCTACTAAGTGCATCAAAACAAAAGTGAAACAACAATATTTAATCATTTTATTTATGTGTCAAATTTAACATTATAAAACCGCATTTTCAGTGCAAATTTCACTTTTTTATAAAACATGTTTAAGCTATTTATTGACTAATAAATATACATTACAATTAGTTTAATTAATGTGTAAAATATTAATTCAGCTACACAATAATACATTTAAATAAAGCTTTTTTTTTTTTCTTGAGCATTTGTCAACTGTTTATATTTTTCATTACCAAATGCATTTCTCAAGTTGGCAATAAGTTAAAACAGTTTTTTACACTGTAACATGTATCTTTATTTTAAATGTCTATTTATTTTTCAGTTTGCATTGAGACTCATTTAATTACGTTTTTTAATATATTAAGGCATCTAAAATATGGTCATGCAGAAGGTATTAATATGTGCTTTATAAATACTAATAAATAGCCAATATGCTATTGATATGCATGCTAGTTAATAGTGAGAATTAGTCCTTTTAAATAAAGTGTTACCATATACTTATTTGTTTGTTTGTTTGATGATGATTTGCGAAGCAATCCTATATAATCTCATCTCTAAACTGCAAGTAAAATCAGAACAAGCTGTGATTGGTCACTATATGTGACCCTGGACCACAAAACCAGTCATAAGTAGCACGGGTATATTTGTAGCAGTGGCCAACAATACATTGTATGGGTCAAAATTATCGATTTTTCATTTATGCCAAAAATCATTAGGATATTAAGTAAAGATCATGTTCCATGAAGACATTTTGTAAATTTCCTACCGTAAATATATCAAAACTTAATTTTTGATTAGTAATATGCATTGCTAAGGAATTTGGACAAATTTAAAGGCGATTTTCTCAATATTTTGATTTTTTTGCACCTTCAGATTCCAGATTTTCAAATAGTTGTATCTCGGCCAAATATTGTCCTTTCCTAACAAACCATACATCAATGGAAAGCTTATTTATTCAGCTTTCAGATTATGTATAAATCTCAGTTTCATAAAAGTGACCCTTATGACTGGTTTTGTGGTCCAGGGTCACATATGTCAGTCAGTCTGCTTTTCCTCTCCAGTCTTTTGCTGTTTAGTCAAAGATCTGGCTATATGAGTTTAAGATAAAACTAATCTAAAGCTAAAGCTAAACCTGCTCTCTTAATACCTGATCCTTCAAAATCTCTGCTACAGTACGTCTTTTTTAAACAACTCATTGTGATCAAATATCACAAAGGCCACTTACAGAGTCAACAAACTGTGCTATAAACAGTACACCTTTGCCAGATTTACTAGGCAATCGAAGTTAATAACAGCTAAACATATGTAACTGTGCGCAACAAAGCAGCAAATGAATCTCAGGATGGTGCCTCAGATTTCAGTGAAAGGAAAAAGAGAGAGAGAGAGAGAGAGAGAGAGAGAGAGAGAGCTGCCATATAAACAACTGCATTGCAGTCAGTCTGTTTTTGTTATTACACACCAGTTGCATGGAGTAAAATTACCTCAGGCTTTAATTCCAAAACTCTTTGATGCTTCTGCCACAGATCAGTGGCATATGGAGAATGCATATGTTTAATGCAAAAGAAGGCACTGTAAGCAAGTGTAAACTTTAACCCCTTAGGATGAAGACCTTTTCCGCCCTATTGCTAGTCAGCTAGTCAGTCAAGTTTTAATTCACTTCCACTGTGCACGTTTTGCGCTATGTAGTTTATATAATAAACCATATTTTTTGCTTTCTCCAGTCTGGATTTAATTCAGTGTGCGGCCAGCAGTCTTTTTGTTTGCATTGACTTTTTTTGGCTTTATGCACCTAAAGCACCTTAGGGCCAGATTAACTAACAGCTTGTGCCAGCGCAAACCATCTTTTGGCATTAAAATAGTACTGTCAGGATTTACTAAAGATGTGCAGTGAAGAATTAGCTCTGAAAAGGTGTGGACACAGTAGGGGTGTCCCCGACTAAGGATTTTCATAGTCGAATCGGAATTTTCTAATACATTGTCAGATATTCGACAGTCATAATTACTGACGTTAACACACAGGGAAAATGTTTAACGGACGCCTCGCAGATACAAACATAATTTTTTATGTTTTGACTAAGATATAGTCAACATTAAACGTCAGCGAAACCCTAAGAATTCACAATTTTTTTATTTTCAACGGTGCTCTCATTATAACTTTATGTATATGACAGTAGTTATTAATGTTCTGCATTTC